ATTCTTACCTTTAAGAATGCTTTCTTAAAGCATTCCTATATTTTCCTAATTAAACTCATGGTAGTCCTGCCAGGTCTTATCCTCCCAAGGAAGCCAGATGCACCCCAGGCCCCTCTCCTAATGTCTCCCCTCTCATGGTTTACCTCACTTCTCCATCTTTGATTTCTGCTGTGTCTGCACATTCATCTCCCCCACTGGGCTACAAGCTCCTCCAGGAGAGAGGCTGCACCTGACTCTCCCCATTCTCATTTACCCCCTGCAATGAGTTCCTGGGGGCTGTCTGCAGGCCAGGTGCTGTCCTAGGCACTGGGGATACAAACGTGAAACAACCCCAAGGTCTGATTTAACACGGGGGCCAACAGGCCCCTTACACGAGCTTTCTGACCATCAGCCTACCTCTTCAGAAACATTTTTGTTTCTATTTCCAGGTCCTCAGGTGGGTCCCAGTTCAAGGCCCAGAGCTGTATTAACGCTAACTCATATTTTACCTCTATTCGTGTTATGGTCTTAATGTTTGTGTTCCCTCAAATTCCTGTGTTGTAACCTAACCCCCAAAGATGGTGGTAGTAGGAGGTGGGGCTTTTGGGAGGTGCTTAGGTCATGAGGGTGAAGCCCTTGTGAAGGGGATTAGTGCCCTTATAAGAGACCTCACGTAGCTCCCTAACTCTTCTGCCATGTGAGGATACAATGAGAGGTCTCTGACCCAGAAGAGGGCCCTCATCCGACCGTGCTGGGCCCTCGTCTTGGACCTCCAGCTCCAGAACTGTGAGAAATAAATTCCTGTTGTTTATAAGCCTCCCCATCTGTGGTATTGTGTTATAGCAGCCTGAACAGACTAAGACCATATGTAAAATCACATACTGGCTACTTTTATAGGGCATATTGAGGAAAATCCTCCTGAATCCTTGGTTCCCACTGGGCAGAGGTTCTAAGGGGCAGGATATCAGGTGACACCTGGAGTATTTCACAAGGTAGGGTAGAAGATGGGGCGGTCTCACTTTGCATCTGAACAGGCGGCCTCAAGAGTTGAGCAAAGGGGAACACTGGCCCCAATTTGAAAAGAAAGTTCAGGTCATGTGCCCTGCTCTCTTTGATTTCCCAAAGGCTATAGAGCCTGCCAAGTCCATGTTTCCTTAGCAGTGTACACACAGCACCTAGTTACTGAGTTCCCAAAGAACAAGCTGAATCATCCTTACACAACAGAAAGAGAGTCCATCTCTCTGTCCATCTGATCATCTGATGTGGATCCGAGCCAGACTCACCCTCTAAACTGCCCCTGCACTGGAGCGGTAGCCCCCTCCCCTCGCCCACAGCACAGGACTGTGCAAGCACCCATTCTCCTCCCGGCCACCAAGGGTTCTGCAGAAAGCTCAGGCAGAGGCTCCCTCTGTTGGGCACATCCTCTATCCACGCTTACCCACTGGTGGCTCTTCTGAGGCAGGTTCCGTGCAGGGTTCTGGGGTACACAGATGAAGCAGACCTTGCCCCTGCCCTCAGGAGTCTTGCAGTTGAGAGAAAGAGACAGACAAGGCTATGGAAAACTACATTAGAGTGCGATCTGTGCTATGAATGTGGAAATTCTCAAGGAGGAGGGCCGGGAACCCACAAGCCAAGCACAACCAAGGCTCGGGAGATGAAGTGCAAGGGCATTCCTAGCACAGGGAACTGACTAGGCAGAGGTGGCTGCAATATGACTCATTCAGAGAGCATCATAGTCCTAGGTGTGGAAGAGCTGGCTTCTGCTGCTCTCTGACCTCAGGCCCCATTTCTCTATCTGGTCTATGAAACGACAGATTTGGAAGTCACGCACTGTCACTTCCACCACACTGCATTTGTTAGAAGCAAGTCACTGAGTCCAGCTACACTCAAGGGCTCAAGGAACTGCACTCTTCCTCTTGTAGGGTGAAGGTGTCAAAGAGCTTTTAAACTACCACAGTCCACCCAGTGGCCACAAATTATTTACAGTCCTCCCACATGCAAAACATACGCAATCTTCCAAACACCCCCAAAAGCCCCATCCTACTACAGAAGTCCAGAATCTTTGCACCTAAATCAGGTTCTCACATGGAGGAGGCTCCTTGGGCGTATTTCCTTCAGTGTAACTCCTTGAGTATAGTCGCTCTCATCTGAGGACCTGTGAAGTCAAGGGACAAGTTGTCTGCATGCCTGCACCCCTGCCCACACCCAACATACAACGGTGGGACAGGCCTAGCATGACCTCTACAGACATTCTTGTTCAAAGGGGACAGGGATGGGAGGCATGCAGGCGTCACTAGTCCATGCAATTCTGGAATCCAGCTGGGCAGATGTTGGAAGTTCCTTGATTAGGACTCAGTCTGCCTCTGGCCTGAGAGTGACTTTCCCTGCTCTTGGTCTCACCCTCTGTATTCTTAGCTCTGCTCTCCAAATCATACTTCCATTTCCATGAAATGTAGCCCATGTCTGCATCTGTGTGCTTTCTCAGGCTGCTCTTGCCAGTAGAATTTGGCAAAGGGGGCAGTTCCAGAGGTCTCTTCTCATTTTGTACTATCTCGGATCCTTTCAGTCCAAGCTGGCACAGTTTCGCCAATATAATTCTTTGAAAAGCTTTGTGTATCTTCTGTGAATCTTATTGAGGTTCACTCCTGTAGACAACTGGCAAATCCACGCATGTCTATGAGATAAGCCCTTCTCTACCTTGGGCTTTTGCTGAATGACCACCTTAAGCTTCTTGGAAGTCCTACTGTTTAACTGAATATTCTGAGGTGCCATTTTTGATCTTTTTGAGAACTTAACAAAAGATTTTACAGCCACACCTTTGGCTTCATCTTTAGACCATCTTTTCCTGGCGAGGCCCTGCATTACATCTTTGCCTGGAAGCTGTTTGTTAATTTTAGCATCATTTGACATCTGGAGAAGCTGGGAATTTTTCAAACCAGCAAGTTCTGATTCCTTTCTATTTAAAAGTCCTTCTTTTGGCTTATCTCTCTTCTCCCACATTTTAGAATAAGCAGCAAGAAGAAGCCAGGAGGCACCTTCAACATTCTGCCTGGGAATTTCTTTAGCCAGATCGCCCGGTTCATTTGGCACACTTTCTACTTTCCATGTTACTGCAGGTGGCAGCATTAGTAACCTTTCTGCTTACACTTCCCTCCTCTCCTGCTGCAGACACCTCCTAAAACTATGGGTTCTTCTTTGCTTTCCTAACGTCTTTTTGGGGTGTCCAATCTCCAAGCCATTCTTTCAGCGGCTCCTGTCACCCATCATTCTGCCCTCTCTATGCTAGCTTCTAAGTTCTTCTCACGCTACTTCCGCATTCCAGGCCCCTGCCACAGTCATTTATTCCACACATTTTATTGAGCACCTTCTAAACACAGGCACCGCATGAGGTATTGGGAAATTCCTGGGGAATAAGATAGTCTTTGCCCTCATGTTTTAGTGGGGGAGACAAGTCAATCAAATCATCCCAGAAGCAGTGATAAAATTGCAATTGAGGGGGGTGCATGAAGGAAAATTAAAGGCTCCTCTGTGGTCATATAATAAGAGGATCTGTCCTAGTGGGTGTGTGATTGGGGAAAGCTTGCCTCAGGATGTGACATTTTAGTAGGAACCTCCTAAAGTAGGAGACGGGCTCCCTTGAGAAAGAAGATGAATAGTATGTTGGAAGTTCATGAGTCAAGAAGGTCAATGTACATGAGGGACAGCGGGGAGACCTGGTGGCTGGGGCAGAAAGAACAAGGGGACAGTTCCTCAGAATGAGCTACGGGGCTCAATAGGGGCAGGTCCCCTCAATCCTGGTCCATCCTGGCATGTGGGCATAAAGACACTCAACAAGCATTTAGCCTACTCTGTGCTGTCACTGTGTATTGGGGTTACAGCATGGAGTACAAGCCCTCAAAGAGCTTGTAGTCTAGCGGGAGAGACAGAAAATAAACACAGAATGAACCAGAAAATCTCAGATACACAGTGAGTGGCATGAAGGAAATAAAACAGTATGACATGATAGGGAGTGGCAGAGGGACTTCTGTAGATTGTGTGACGTGGAACAGCTCCTCTAAGGCTCTGCATCAGAGATTCGATATACAAGCTGCAATGTGATGGCAAGAGAGGGCCTGCCTCTGTAGTATTTGAGAGAAGAAGGTTCCAGCAGAGGCCAGCGTACAGGCCTTGAGGCTGGAGCAAGCTCGATGTGTTCAGGCACTGCATGGAGGTCCAGGTGCCTGGAGCTCCCATGCAGAGAGCCTCAAAAGAAGCGAGGCTGGCAAGGGCATGGAGGAGCACACCACCAGGTGCGGCAGGAAGGGCATTCCAGGTGGAAGGAGCCGCCTGGACAAAGGCTGCAGTCCGGAAACAATGTGCAGATTGATCCTCCTCCGTTTTCTGTTTTCTTGACTTACCTTGGCCCAGACGGGCAGGTAACCTTGCCTGAGTCAGGACAGGTCAGGTCGGGAGCCGGGGGATGGGCCAGTGGCACCCAGACTAGGCGGAAGGGAGTGAAGACAAGGGGACTTGCCTAGAAAGGCGGGATGGGCACTGGGCAGGCAGAGACCCCCGCACTCGGGACAGGCAGTTACTGTCTCCCTGGTGATGGCATGTTCGCGAAGCGCAAGGATCTTGCTTGGTTCGGCCCACAGCTCATGGTAAGAACTTGGCATTTTATTCTTGAGGGAATGAATGAATGAATGAATGAGGGAGGGAGGGAGGGAGCGAGAGAAATTACCCGGTTTGACCAGGATTTCCTCTTAGCAACTCAGCCTTGCAGGTACTGATAACCACCGGGCCCTTGGGCCTTTACAGAGCCCTGTGAATTCCGGAAGGGTCCACAGCAGGTCTTATCACCTATAAACGCAAGCAGGCCCAGAGAGGCTGAGCGGCGCGTCCAGCCACCGTCACACAGCGGGTGAGAGCCCTCGCCACCCCCACCGAGCTTGACTTTCCGCCCGCCTGGCGCCCCGCCCCCTGGCCTCCGCGCGGCAGTCCCTCCTCTCCCGGCTCAGGCCTCGGCCCTGAACTGGCCGGGGCGGGTCCCACCTCTCGCTGCCCAGGGCCAGCCTGCGCCAGTCCCTGTCCCCAGATCGCGGCTCTCAGAGGTCCCTTCTGGCCCGAGCGCCTGCTTCTCCTCCCGCGCTAGGTGAGTGGGGCGCCCCGACGCCCCGAGGGAGGGGAGGCTGGCCCGGCTCGCGTCTTGGGGCCCGAGCTCGGTTCCCCCGCGCGCTCCTGGGGGTGCACGAGCCTAGCCGCCGGGATGCCGGGCCTAGGGTCTGAGTCCGGGGTTCCCCTTGGAGCGCCGAGCCTCCAGCTAGCCCACGGGCTAAAGGACCGCGACGCGGAGGCTGGGCCAGCAGAGGACCGCGCGGGCAGGGCGGGCGGGGTGCCCTCGGGGCCGCACGGCCCTGCGGGGTGGGCGGCGTCGGCCCGGCCTACAGAAGAGAAAACTGAGGCTCGGAGAGAGAAAGGGACAAGCGAAAGTGGCGCCGGTGGTCCGTGGCGGAGGGACAGACTGTGCCCCTGGGCCGTCAGCCCACTCTCCGCAGTCTCTCGCCGCTTTCTCGGACTGGGAAAGATCCTTCCTGATTGGTCACATGTGGTGGCCGGGCACGAGGGTCTCTTGTGATTGGACAGCTCCCAGCCCCCCCCCGGCTCTTGTGCCAGAGGAGGCCCGAGCAGACCCCACAGCGTGGATCGTGGGGTTGCGCTACTCCGGGCGCAGGCCCAGGGTGCCTGTCGGGGCCCCTGGCTTGCCGCCTGCCTGAGGGGCCGGCATCTCCCGCGGGGCGGCGCGGGCGGAGGCGGAAGGCAGCAGGGACTCACACTTGGAGTCCAGAGGCCGGCTCTGGCGTCACGTGACTTTGTTTGCTCCCCGCTCGCTCCTTCGTCATGATCTTGGGCAAGTTTCTTAAGCTCTGAACCTCAGTTTCTTAGGCTGAAATTGGGAAAGGCGAGAAATAATAGTACCTAGCTCCTAAGAGAATTACATGAGATTCTACAGCGCATCTGGCCCCAGGAGGCCTTCCGTGCATGGTGGCTGCTGTCCTTCCTACTAGTATTAACCTGCACAACAGCGTTGGGAGACAATCCTGTGACATCCCTTTCAGAGACAAGAAAGTTGAGGCTCAGAGATGGAAGCGATTCGCCCAGGATTGAACCCAGGTCTACAGGCTCAGGAGGTCAGGCCTGCACTGTGGCCTGTCTCCTGTGCCCAGGACCGCAGGAAAGACAGCAGATGGGGCATGACCCTCGCACCCCCTAGGGGACCCCGGCTGTGGCTGTGGGAGGGACAAGCGTGCTGCCTGCCAGGTGCCAAGCCGAACGGGCTGACGGCAGGAGAAGAGTCAGCTTTGGGCCCTCCAAAGGGCAGCTGGGGGCAGGCGACACCTTGTGGCTTAATAAAGGCTGACTGCCGGACAGCTCGGCTGCGCCTCTGCCCCTCCTAGAGCTGCGTTCTTCCGCGTTCTTCGGCTCCCCAGGACCCGAGAACAGGCGGCGCGGAGCTGCTGCTCCCGCGCAGCACAGCCCAGCTCGGGCGGGGTGTGGTAGCTGGGTCCTGGGGAGCCGGACCTGGGCTGTGTGTGGGTTGCGGTAGGAAGCCTGGGAAGCCCTGACAGCCCTACTGCTGTCACAGCAGCCCCACAGCGTCCCCACACGCTGCCCGGGGCAAGGACACCGAGCTGTGCCAACTCAGGAAAGAGGCGGAGGCTGCCCTCCCGGCCCACGTGGGGCTCTGTCGTCTATTCCCTGACTCCTCCCTCCTCTATACCCGATCTTTCTGGAGCCCAAGGTCAAGACTGGCTGAGGCTCCTCCCACCACTCCTGTTCTTGCCAAACTTTGCTTCCCTGTTCTGTGACAACAGCCCCATGGGTGGCTACCCTGACTCTGCCTCCCTGCTTCCAAAGGGATGTATTTTGTACCCCTTTATTTTTATTTATTTATTTACTTTTGCTTGAGGAAGACTGGCCCTGAGCTAACATCTGTGCCAGTCTTCCTCTATTTTATATCTAGGTTGCCGGCACATCCTGACTGATGAGCGGTGTAGGTCTGCGCCCGGGATCTGAACCCACACACTTGGGTGTACCCCTTTATTTTTTCGCAATAATACATGTTCAATGTAGGAAAAAACAGAACATTCTGGTAAGAAAAAAATAATTATAGTAATCAAAAAACCTCCAAACCCAAAAAACCCTACCCAGTGGCTTTTAACATTTCTGTGTGTATCTTTCCAGGCTTTTACACTGCAAGTACACAGACACAGGCACCTGTGCACGCACACCACGCCTTAAAAATTATAGTGGCTTGTTATCTGTGGGGCATTTTGGCTTATTTAATGCTGGACATGAAACAGGAGAAGCTGCCATTTCTAAGGGCTGCGTGAGTTACACAGTGTGAATGTAGCATAATTTTAAAATACTTATGTCTTTACTTGCTTGTCCAAACGTAATTTAGAAGCGAAATTTCTGAGTCAGAAGAAAAGAACCATTTTTAGAATTTTGATATTTATTGCCAGATTTTCCTTCAGGGAGTTTGCACTGATTTATTGTTCCTTCAGTGGTATGGGAGACTGTCCATTTTCCCATAACCCAGCCAACGTGGACCATTTATATTGTCTTAATACCTTCTAATTTTATAAAAGAAAAATAGTCTCTTGTTTTGTTATGCATTTCTTTGATTACTTGTGATTTGACTATGGTTTTATTTGTCTAATGGTTTTTTTGCTTTTGGCAAATTGCTTCAGAGACATGTAACATCTTCACATATGAAAATGTATCACACTCTTTCTTCTACAATTATCCTTTGGTGCTGGCAGGTAAAGCCCAATACTTCCCAGTATTTTCTAATACATTAACATTTTCTTCCTACCTTTAATTTTTAAATAGTATTTATTTTTAACCTAATTGAACTATATTTTGGAGTAAGATGTGAGCTATGGAGCTAGATTGATTTATTTATTTAAGTTAATAAATTAGAATGGCTCTTCTTTCATTTTTGATATTAGTAATTTGTTTGTGTCTTCTCTGCTTTTTTCTTAGTTAGCCTGGCTAGAGGCTTGTCAATTTTATTCATCTTTTTAAAGAAACTTCTTTTGGTTTTGTTACTTTCTCTGGTGATTTCCTGTTTTCAATTTCATTGATTTCTGCTCTAATTTTTATTATTTCCTTTCTTCTGATTACTTTGGATTTAATTTGCTCTTCTTATTCTAGTTTCCTAAGGTGGAAGCTTATTTTATTGATTTTAGACATTTTTCTTTGATTATATATGCATTCAATGCTATAAATTTCTGGGGTTGGCCCGGTGGCACAGCAGTTAAGTGTGCGTGCTCCACTTCGGCGGCCCAGGGTTCACAGGTTCGGATCTCGGGCACCCACTGATGCACCACTTGTTGGGCCATGCTGTGGTGGCGTCCCATATAAAGTGCAGGAAGATGGGCACAGATGTTAGCCCAGGGCCGATCTTCCTCAGCATAAAAGAGGAGGATTGGCATTGGATGTTAGCTCAGGGCTGATCTTTCTCACAACAACAACAAAAAAATCGTTTAAAGGGCTGGCCCCGTGGCTTAGCAGTTAAGTGTGTGCACTCTGCTGCTGGCGGCCCGGAGGTTCGGATCCCAGGTGCACAGCGATGCACCGCATCTCCGGCCATGCTGAGGCCGCGTCCCACATACAGCAACTAGAAGGATGTGCAGCTATGACATACAACTATCTACTGGGGCTTTGGGGGGAAAAAATAAATAAATAAATAAAATTATTTTTAAAAATGCTATAAATTTCTGTCTAGGCACTGCTTAAGCTGCATCCTACAAATTTTGATGTTATGTTTTCATTTTCTTTCAGTTTAAAATATTTAAAAATTTCTCTTGAGACTTCTTTGACCCATATGTTGTTCAAAGCGTGTGTTTAATCTCCACATATTTTGGCTTATCCAGATATCTGTTATTGATTTCTAGTAGTCCCATTGTGGTCTGAGAGCATACTTTGTATGATTTCTATTCTTTTAAATTTGTTATGATGTATTTTTTTTTTTTTTTTTTTGTGAGGAGATCAGCCCTGTGCTAACATCCGCCAATCCTCCTCTTTTTTTTTTGCTGAGGAAGACGGCCCCGGGCTAACATCTGTGCCCATCTTCCTCCACTTTATATGGGACGCCGCCACAGCATGGCTTGCCAAGCAGTGCGTCGGTGCGCGCCCAGGATCCGAACCAGCGAACCCCGGGCCGTGCAGCGGAGCGCGTGCACTTAACCGCTTGCACCACCGGGCCAGCCCCTTTTATGATGTATTTTATGGTCTATCTTAGGGAATATCCTGTGTGAACTTGAGATGGATGTATATTCTGCTGTTGTTGGATGAAGTAGTCCATGAACGTTAGTTAGATCCAACTAACTGATGGTGCTGTTCAGTTCATCTATGTCCTTACTGATTTTCTAACTATTGGATCTCTTGATTAGTGGGGGTTGACAGAGGAGTGTTGTAGTCTCCAACTATATTGGTGGATTTGTCTATTTCTCCTTGCAATTCTATCAGGTTTTGCTTCAGATATTTCGATGCTCTGTTGTTAGGCACATTCACATTAAGGATTGTTATATCTTCTTGGAGAATTGAACCCTTTACCTTTATGTAGTGCCCCTCTTTATCCCTAATACTTTTCCTTGTTCTGAAGTCTGCTTTGTCTGAAGTTGATAGAGCTACTTTATGTTTCTTTTGATTAGTGTTAAGAGGGTATATCTTTCTCCATCCATTTACTTGTAATCTATCTGTGTTTTTCTCTTTAAAGTGGGTTTCTTGTAGACAACATATAATTGGGTCTTGATTTTTTTTGTCCATTCTGATAGTCTCTGTGTTTTAATTGGTGTATTTAAACCATTGATATTTAAAGTGATTATTGATATAGTTGGATTGATAGCTAACATATTTATTACTCTTTTCTAACCATTGCCCTTGTTCTTTCTTTTTTTTTTTTTTTTTTCCTTTTTTGGTCTTCCACTCTTTTTCTGATTTCCCTGGTTTTAACTGAGCATTTTATATGATTCCATTTTCTTTTCTTTCTTAGCACATCAATTATACTTTTTTTTTTTTTTGCTTTTTTTAGTGGTGCTTTAGAGTTTACAGTATACGTTTACAACTAATCCAAGTCCACTT